ACTCACTATCTACACACACATTCCTTCCCGTCACGTTGTCACCCTCTTTTATATACCAGACTATCCTATATCTAGTAAGTACTAGAGCATTCGCCAAGGTACAGGATAGTTCTAGAAAATAGGTGGCGCCACACCAGTCACGTGACCTCGATGACGCAACAATCTCTATAAATATAATAGTACCGTCTGTTGTTTTTTGTATGTCCATGTAATTATTTCGCAGGGTATGGATGGATTTTCACCAAATTTGGTATGGAGATTCAATGGGTCCATGGGGGGGATGCATACAAATTTTCAGTTTTGCATTTTGCGGTTTTCATGGGCGTTTTCGCGTTTTTTACAAATACTTCGCCCATATTGATGGATCTTCACCAAGTTTGGCATGAAGGTTTGATGGGTCCGTGTGGAGATACATGCAAACTTGCAGTTTCACATTTTGTGTTTTGCAGTTTTTGCGTTTTTTATAATTACATATAAGAGAAGCAACTTTCATGTCCTGAGATAACCTTTCATTAATCATTAATTTACATAACTTCTATCCAGTACGCCAGCTAATATATAATATGTTTCTAAAAATTAAACGTAAACTCCAATCTATTATTCGATTTACCACTTGTCACTTAAATGATATTGGCTTCGGGCAATTTACTCCTTATGAGTAACCCTGGAAGTCTGGCATGGCCTGGTGGTTAGTGCGCTAGGCTCGCAGTCTGTGGGTCGCAAGTTCTCAACATATGCTCGACCTTTTAGCTGTGGGGGCGTTATAATGTGGCAACTAATCCTTTTTTTTGTTGGTAAAAGAGTAGCCTAAAAGTTGAGGACGGGTGGTATTGTATAGCTTCTTTCTCTTTAGTCTCACTTTTAAATTAGAGACGGTTAGCGCAGATATCCCTCGAGTAGTTTTTCGCAAAATTCTACAAAGCAAACACTAGCCATAACCAAAGGCCAATTGGAAGAATATGTATTATATGTACGGTGTATTGAGATGAATCTTTAACAGTGATCTTATATTTATATAGGAATGTGCAGCATTGATGGCATTGCTGTAAACTATATTTTTAATGTTGTAATTTGTTAACTAGAGAGTGTAGAACGCCTAGAAAGCATTGATGTCAAGCTTTTTCTAATATATTCAATATGATATTCCATGAGGCGTCGTTATGCTAGTTAAAAAGTGTAGAGTGATTGCAAGTTTGAGAGTGAATCAGTCAATGTGTTAGCTATCGCGGTAGCTTTATACAAGTAGGTCTATAGTAATTTATGGAAGTGCATAAATGTTCAAGTTTGTAGAAACGTTAAAGGATGAAATAAAATAATTTATTATCGATACGTGGACTGGACTTTGAATTATTTTCATCATATAATTTAAAAGAATTCGTCAGCGAAAGAACTACGCTACAACCGTATTAATTTATTCTTGTGAATTATTCAGACAACAAGTCTTTTGAAATACCAACATAAATAAATAAAAGTGAAGTAAAATCCATTATTAGATTTACCACTAGTCTCTGAGTTACACAATATATATATATATATATATATATAATACACACTCCACCACTGTTATGGATCACTAATCTTATTCTTCTGATTTGCCCTTGTCCAAGGTTACTGATAGGGATGGAATTTCTCGAAACTGGTATAACTCAATGATAAGTGGTAAATCGAAAGTAGATTGGGCTTTTAATTTTTGTGTCATTACTTTAAACAGCCTTATAGATAAATTATTCTCAAAAATAAATTAGTGACATCATTGCTACATATTCCTGACATTCCTGTATAAATATTGGATCACTGTGTCAGTAAAATACCGTACAAAAAATACTTTTATTTGCTTCGTTTCAACGAGAGCAACTTCATCAGGAAAACAGGTTAAGACAAAATATTACCTTCTAAGTAGCAAAAAAGCATATTTTATTTTAATCCTTAAGTTTAGCCATGCTTAACGTTTTGTCTCTTTTGCTTTAATATTTTTTGATAGATAAAACTTTTAGAAATGAAATTGTGATACATTACACACACACGAGATTTCCGTTAGGTGACGCTAGTAGAAGGGGCAAAAAGGAAAATACTTTAGGGGTAAGCCATTCATGGTATGTAATGTAAATTAGGAACTAAATATTTGAAACGATTTGAATTTGTGTGTATAATTTGTACATGTAAACTGGAATCGAATAATACGAAGAAGCAAGGTGACACAAATAAGATATTTTGGCTCACCGAGGTCATACCTTGTCCGTTACTAAATAAGCGTATAATATTAATAAACTATTATTACGTTACAGTATAAATTATAATATATAGTAATATACTATAAATAAAGTAAGAGAACACCAAGCACTCTAAATAATAAACAATTTTGTTATGTTACACTTACAAGTTACAGTATGATTATAATAAAGTAAGAGAACAAGAAGTTCGCTAAATCGTAACATTTGTGAAAATGTAATGGTGACGAAATATATTAATAAAATCAAGTTTAAATTATAAATTTTGTTTCTAAATAATGGTATAGTTAAGTATTTAAAAAATAAAACAAAATCGTACAACCCAAATGCATTCTTAATCTTAAGACATGGAGAGAAGGAAAAAATATTGCCTGCAATTTCCATTTTTAATGATTTTACTAGTAGTTGCAAAAACTAAATTATATTTATAGGATTGAAGCTAACTTTGTGATTTTAACGTTATACTATTAGCTCTTATTCCACTAACTTCCTATTACAAAAATTATACAAGATACAGCATGGAAAAGCTGCTTCTAAGTTCTAATTCTCTCCACAATGTTTAGGTGAAAACTAGTAGTTGCAAAAACTAAATTATATTTATAGGATTGAAGCTAACTTTGTGATTTTAACGTTATACTATTAGCTCTTATTCCACTAACTTCCTATTACAAAAATTATACAAGATACAGCATGGAAAAGCTGCTTCTAAGTTCTAATTCTCTCCACAATGTTTAGGTGAAAATTAAAAATGAAAATTTCATCAGTTACAGTTTGTCCAGAATAATGTCATTAGAATAGAAGAAGAAAAGTAATGATAACCTAATATTGTCAGATACAGGTACTTGATGTTTGCAGATTGAATGGAAGTTGTGCCATTACAGATCAGTATGATGAATATAACTTAGGTGTTTTTTATTTTTACATTTTCTTCTAGCTTAAATTAGAAATAATTTCTTTATTGGTACTATGCTACAAACTATTGATCAATATACCATGATCTGCCAGCATAAGGCATCATATACCATGATAATATGTGTAAAAGTCTTTATATATTCTGATTGTAAGTTTTCTGCCAATATTATTGATGGGTATCATTTATCTTTGTAGTCGTAATTAGTTACAGCAGAAAGAAGAGTAATATAAAAATATTCAATTTTAACATTTTATTTAAGAGAATGGAATGTATATTCTGTGTATTAATGTTATTCTTCATTTGACTAAGTTAATGAGCAGGAAAATTGTGTTTCACAACATTCTTTAAAAGTTTTGTCTGTAACAAGTTTGTCATCCTTTTCCTTTTCACATCCATAGCAACTGCTGCAGATTTCATAACAACATAGCAGCATAAAGATTTAAAAAAAACCACAGAAACTACTTTTTTTATAGAAAGGTAAGTAACTATTATTGTCATTTCTATAAGTATGGGAAAAACATTTACACTATTTAGATATATTAACTTCTTTTTCAGAACTTTTAGGATCAAAGCATCCAAAATGATCAATTTTCATAATATAAAGTAGACAATTGTTTCATACAAAATCAGAAAAATTTGGCAACTTTCTTAAGTATTTTCCTTATTCACTTGGCTTTTTTTATAGGTATCTTCCAAATGTCAAATATTTTAATTTAAAAAAATTACAAATACACATTCATCTGAAAGATTTTAGAAATATTATCATCTTCTAAGAGAACTTCATTTATAGCAGTCTGTCAAATACTAGCATGATTTATTACATACTGAAAGAGCAGTTGGTCTTTGCAAGCATGAGATCACAAGCAGGATGGTAATTAAATCATATAAACCACCAGTATTTCTCATGATAGCAAGAAATTTGGGGAGACTTACAACTGAAGTAACTTTTCATATCAAATGTTTGTTTCTACGTATTTGTTACTTAATTTGATTTGAGATGAACTTGTCCTCGCCAAATATATTTTCAAAAATTAAGGCTGAAATTAGGTATCTAATTGCTATTTTTAGGAATTAAACATGCTTAAAGTAGGTACTGGGAAGGCAACAATTTTTCAAGGAATAGGTACTTTTTTTTTCAATTCCTTGTAATAGATATATGGTTTAGTACAAGAACACAAAAGCTATCAGAATTCAAGTTCAATAATGATGAAACATTGTGTGTCAGTTATAAGTTAATGATTTTGTGTATCATTTAGACTTTCTTAAGTAACCTTTCTTACAAAATGTTTGTGTTTATTGGTTAGTAACTTCATTTGGGCTGATGTGATTATATGAACGATTGGGATGTTGTTGGTGTATCATTTTTTTTTTTTTTACAGTAAATTGAGATTGCAGATTGACAGTTTCTAAAGGTTATGGTGTGTATGATGACTTTCATACAATTTTTATATTCTCATACAAATAGAAATACCTGTGAAATAGGAAATTATGATTGTTTTGTTTTTTAAGTGTTTTTTTTTTCTTTTTTGTTTCTACCCTCTTTATTTTTAACTACAGAAATAAATGCTCTAAAAATCCTTAGTACTTTTAGGTAAAACTTACTACTCATCAGCATAAAGCAGCAATAAAATTTCAATTATTCCAATTGACAGAAATATGACTTACAAATTTCTGCTGCTTATCTGCTCATGAAAGAATTTATTACTCTTATATAGACAGGAAAACATACAAATATAAAAATTAAGTAGATGTGCAATTTGACTAATTTTTTTAGTGTCAAATTTTATACCCAGCTCTACCGTTGGCGAAAGCACAACAGATCTGGTGAAAGTCTACAAGTAAAAGTGAACTTTTTGAAGCTCTTGTAATGCACCTTAAGTGTCTTATCTTGAAAGTTTTGCAGGTTATTTTAAAGAGACTGCATTTATCCATCTTTTTTCTTTTGAAAATATGGAAATCACTCTCAAATTTCTTCAAATTGTGCAAAATCTCTGCAAGGGTCTTCAGTAGCATTCATTCTTCAAGAAAATTGTTATAAGATGGAAAGTGTGGAAGTGTAGCATATGAGTCAAGAAACTTGGCACAAATGGCAAAGCAGTTGTATCACTTCTTGTTCAAAGCATCCCATTTCACAGTAGAGATGTAGTTAAAATTTCTACTGTATGAATTTAGTACAGTTAATGCATTAAATTTAATATTTTGAATTTTGCTTCTATGGAAAACTATATTTTACATCAAGAAGTAAGGACTATTGAAAAAATACTTTCATTATGAAATACTTCTCTAATTCAGGCTTAAGCACCTATTATAACCCTAGTATAAACTGGAAGTTAAATGGTGTGAATCAGAAACTTAAACAGCAGCAGTATCTTTATTCTCCACATTGTAGCTGGATATTTTATTACTGTGTATTTTGGTTATTATAGGAAACAAGCCAAATTTTAAAATTTTATTTACAATGTTTGACTTGTAGAATTTTGTTATGGTGCGAGTTTTGTTCAAACTCAACTGTTTACAGTAGCTACTGCAGCAAAGATATAGAGGTTATATTCTTATTTTTCAATATATGGGAAAGTTTGATATGAGTTTAGTTTGCTTTTGGATTACTAAATTAGCATGCCAAATTTGGTCTGGATTGATCCACAGACAGACATAAAGTTTTCCTTGATACTACACCAGTAATATGTATAGCGTATATGTGAAGAATGCCTGTACCCTGATTTCTATACTTGACTGTAGGCATTTTGCTCAGAAGAGCAGGATAACTAATAAAAATGGTAAAAGATGAAACTTTTTTTTTAAGTAGTCTAGCTAAATGTTTCAGTTTTCAATTTTTTAACACAATGAAGCTCCTTTTTTTAATTATGTTTCTTTTCAATTTCAATTTTTTGGTTTACATGTCAGGTTTTAGAAAACAGAACATCATGGCATTTCAAAAATTTGTCAGAAAATGGTGGCCAATTCTGATACCTATTGGAGGATTGATGTTTGGGTTTTATTTGGATCATCTGGAAACTCTAAGGATGACTGACTTTAGAGGAAAAAGCAAGCTTTTTGGCAAAGAAGGATCCTCAAGTGAAAACCCATCATGGCCCTAAACTAGATTTTTTAAATACTTAGTTGATCTAGTTCTCTTAAATAAAGTAATTCATTGTGGTTGTTAGGTTAAAACCAAAAAATAAAAAGCTTGAAAATTGAACTTAAGAACATTGTTTATAGGGTTATTCTGAGTATCCATAATAATTAGTAAAGCCCAAAGAAAAAGAATTACTGGAAAGAAGTTTGCCTAGTTGTACTGTTGGTACGGAAAAAAATCATAAATTATTTACACTTAGTAGAGAACTTAGTTGGTATTTTCTTTTTTTTTTTAAAAGTTAAGGCACAAATTCAACTTAAAAGTCTGTTTGATTTTAGTTTCATACAACTATATTAAGAAAGTATAAAAGTAGCATTTTATCATGATAATCTTATTGTATAATTTGAAATAAGACAAACAATCCAATTAGTAGAAAGCTTGTTAATCTTCAAATCAATTGAGATTATGCAAAATCTGTAAACAGTTAGTAAACTTACTGTTTTAGTTAGCTAGAGTTTCTTTGGGAGAAAAAATGTACAGATTTTGTATTTAACTTGAGTTAGTTTCTTTGAAAAACATAAATTTTGATAAATGTGTTATATAAAAAAAAATTGTGAAAAAGTGAAGAGGTAAAGATTCAGGGAAGGTAATAAAAGAAAGATAGAGAACAATCTGGAAAACAATGACTTTGAAAACTAGTGGAAACCATGACACTACCATGCAGTAATATTCCCACTGAAATTAAATTGTTTCATTAGTTTTTGTGCAAGTATGAATTAATTGTGTCTGGGCAAACTAATAAAGTTTTTTTCACTGCAATATGAATGGTTAACATTGTGATACTGATAATTATTGACTGCAATTTAAAAAAAATGTCATTTGTTTATATATAAGAATATAGACTACTCGGATAAACAAAAATAGCTTAAGTGCATTAGTTAAATAATAAAAAGAAGTTTTAATGAGTATTTGCATTTAATAACAAATTATCATCTTTAATCATTATGTGTGATATTTTTGGATGAAACCGATAACAACTCACAATAAAAGCAGATATGATCAAGAAATAAGGGAAGTGTTCTGTAGTAGATAACTTGACTGTTTTAAGTTGTTGGAAATAAACAGATTGGAAACATTTATAGGACAGACAAAACAATCCATATTTAGACACAATAGAAAAAAATAAGTGTTTATACCTGCATAGACAAGTGGACGATCACCTCTACAGGATCAGTGAATAGCTTATCAGCTTTCTTTACTTTAAGATGAATCTCTACTTAATTAGTCATGATGAAAACCAAATAGAACTGAACAAAGAAAGAATGCTTGAATCCAGAATGTAAACTCATGTTCTTTGACCAGTGGACAGCATCACTTCATGACTTGTGCCTTGAAAGCACTTGTTGATTGTTGATTTCAATTTACATTATAATTGGTGAATTAAAGATATTTAAGTGCTAATTTGTTTCATTCAGAGTCTACATGCAATACTGAAATATCATTGTGGGCAGAAAAGATGTTGCCTACTATAGAACAAATAGACAAGCAATTAGAACAAAGCAAATGTAACAACTTCGTAGAAACTAAGTAATAAAAAAAAATTATATTCACTGTAGAAACTAGAAAACATGATATGCCCACATATCTCACACAAACACACATACATGGTTTACTGAAAGTTATTTTTCAATATTTATAAAAATTGGCACAAAAGTGTAGGTCAAACACCTTATCTTCTGGCATTGCCTAGTTTATGTGATAAGGTCTTCTTTTTACTATTACATATAAATTATTCAGAGTTTGTTAAGAATAATCATATAATGTTTAATGTTCTTTATCAGAATATCATACTGTATCAAATCAGATATTAGAAAATGTGATTCACTGGAAGTTTATAATGTGTGCCCAGATACACTAAAGTTAGAGTTTTTGTGTGTGCTTGAGAAATATAATGGGTCCTTATGTATACATGTCTTAGACTAGTTTTTTTTTTTTACTATGAAATATCATATTGCACATAAAAGATTTGAAGATATTGTAGTTACATATTGTAAGCTTATATAAACAAGCTGAAGTGAACATTGTAAAAGGGCCCCAATGCTTTGTTTCACCAAGTAATATTTATTTGACAAAACACTAGATTCCCACATTCTCTCTCCAAGCCAAACTTAACATATGTATAAAACACTAAATGGTTCAGCACCCTCCAACACTTATTTTCCATATAGGAGACTAGATATAAATAAATTTGTATGTCTTTCCTGTCTATGCTGCAACAGTTTGTGATCCTGGTATTTACTTTCAATGCCATGCTTTGATTCATTAACTTGAAGCTATGTGGTGAAAATACTATTGTTAAGATTCTACAGGATCTAGAGCTGCTTTGGCTAAAGTTGAACTGGGTGGTACTCCCCAACTACCGTTAAATGTCTGCACATGGCTTTAGAAAAACAGTGAGAAGTTACGTATGTCAGGAAGAAGAATTTTTTTGCATTGTTTTGTTTATGAAAGAACTAACATTAACTACATTTATAGTTGAAACGAATTTTGTGCATCATGCATTTTTATGTATTTGTTTTAAACAGTCATTTAATCAGTAGGAAGGAAATTATGAAAGCCTTAGCTCCATGAATTGGCAGTGCAAGCTGTCACTCAGTGACAGTTTAAAGATGTTTGAATAGAGTTGCATAAACCAGTTTATAAATGTTTCATATGACAGCTTAGGAGGAGAGCAATTTAATAATAACAGTTTCTTTAGATGTCCATTCTCTGTATGAGATATCATGTACATTTAATTATTAAACCAAGCCTTACTATATGAGTGTGTTAGATAATTTATTAAATATTACCCTTGTCCATTTCATAAAATAACAAATATGGTGTTCTTTTTTTGTGTTGCTTTTGGTTATATACCAGAAAATGTCCTTGTCACCACTCAGTCAGTGGTGTAGGGGCAAACACCATGTAGCCTGAGTAACACAGGTTAGAGCAGGGAAGAAAGAGTGTTCAAGCTGAAAGTCTTCTTTTTTTATTGGTTAAAATTCACAGTGCAATATGGTAATGTTCAAAGTCTTTAATTAATAAAGGGAAAAAACATCAAATCAGTATTTGTTGGAGGGAATCGAATATTTGTCTCTCTTTCTGGAATTTGTGTGACACAGTTAAATTTTGTTTTGGAAATATATAATTTGGCTTTTCTGCACTTAAAATGTTCTGTTGAAGACTCAGTTAGTTACTGAATTACTTCTGGTAAAAATAACACATTTAGAATAGGTTCAAGATTGTCTTATTGTGTGTTTTTGACATAGTTTATGTTTTTAAAATGTTACAACTGGTTTTGCTTTAGAAAAGAAAGGCACATAATTATACCTGGGTTGCTAGTTACAACAGAGGTCTTAAAATTATTTATGTAAATGAACAATCTGCTCTTTGAACATGTAGTTACATTTGAAGCTGTGTAGGGTATTTTTAAGAACTAGCCATCCTTTCAGTGCATCAGTTTGCAACATCATTTAAGCCTGCTAACTGGAGGTTCAGAAAATATTGGACTATAGAGTATAATGCTCTCTTTGATCTAACTCCGGGGTCGTCAAATAGAAGAGACTCAACACTAAAGTTTGACAAATACACAAATATTTGTTTACAAAAACACAATTTTTCAAAACACTTACACCTTAACTAAAGGGATAGCAGGCACATAGTACCATCCTGAACTATAATCAGATGAAGGTGTTTAAAAATGAACTTAAAGTATACTACTTCTAAATTAACACCAAAATATCTGTGCCATTGTGTAGTTATCATATCTACTCAAAGTGTTGTTGCATACCTTCAGCCATCTTTCTGTATCACCATTTGAAGAAGGGTATCTATCAAAAACTTTGTTATATGCCTCTAACTGTCATCTGTAGGCATGTCCACCTAAAGAAGGGAACCTGCAAAAATTTTGTTGTCGTAAACTTATTTTTTAGTAGTATATATGGTAATGTAAATTTATGGGTGTGTTGGGCTAAGGATTCTTCCACAGTAGGTGTCTGTCACTTGTTGGCTATAAATTCGACAATAAACAAACTGCACGCACTCCACTTGTTTTTAAAATAATATATATGTTCGAAACAAGTTAAACATAAGTACAATATTTTTATACTATGGAGATCATAGTTGTATCTTAAACACTATACAGTTCTCATCTTCTTGTCAAAGATCCACTTAGGGCAATTCAACTGCTTTAGAATTTAGTTGACAAGTCAAACTACCTTTCTTTATTTTTATCGCAATAGTATCCGTGTATAATTCACTTACACTGTTGCGTGAGTTACTGCAGTTGTATCCTGAACTTCCAATAATCGTCTGTCTTTTGTCAAAGCCCACACAGGCAGGTTCAATTAGTATAGAACACATTTTGACGAAACAAATTATTTTCCTTATCTCTTTCAAACTTTTAATCTTACTCTAACATATCAATTGTTAGGCCATTCACTCCCACAATAGTTAACTTTACGTTTTCTAACTTTTCTCTGACACCTTCAACTATAATTCTGTAAGTATCGTTACTAAAGAGAGTTATTGGCCAAAACGTTGTCTACCTGCATTTCACATGCAATAAACATAGTTTTCCCAGAAAGAAAGGTATTGGTTGAATGTTGTTGTTTTTATGTGTCCAACTGTCATTAGTAGGTATGTCCTATAAAAGGGCATCATTCAAACCAATGTTGTATATCTACAGCTGGCATTCTTAGTAGTTTTCACTTGACAAAGGATATCAAGTTAAACATTACGAAACAAAAATAACCTTTATGATTTACTTTACTGGAATGTTGTTTATAGAGTATCAAATGCAACAGTCTCTAGGGCGATGTCAGCTTAAAAATATAATTCATACAATATCAAATGTTTGAAACATAAGTAACTTGAACATTATACTTCATTGAGACCGCCTTATATTGAGTTTCATTGTGAAATGAAACAGAAAGACCACAGCCACCAAATTATGCTCGGATTTCAATGTTTGATGACGGAAACCAGGGTTGGATAAAACTACAATTCAACCTGAATCATCTTGGACAGAGATATCCAAATTGGCAGCTTGTTTTTATATGGCCCCCAAGAATTATAAGGATCTCCTACTTAAATATATTTGTAAAATAAAAATACATATTTCATGTTATAAAAATACAAAGTAATATTTGTATAATATTAACATTATTTGTTACGTATCTCTAAACGTATGGTTCACAGGTATATGTTTTGGTATTCAAATTAAATTATGAAATTTAGGACTCGGGATTTATTAATTAGCAATCCGGCCTCTATGCTGTTTCAAAGTTGGACATTGATCTGGGATAATGTAGTAGAGAAGTTTCACATAGGCTATACATTAGTCTATGAATGCATGTTTTTGCGAATAATAGTATAAAGTTCAAAGGCTGTAGATTAAGGATTATAAATATAATGTGATCTGGTCAGATGAACAAACATTAATTTTCTTCCCATCACATAGATAAACATATGCATATAAGCATAAAAATAACGCAATAAATTTGTATACCCTAAGTCGGGTCCACAATTAGTATGGCCTGGTTGTTAGGGCATTTAACTCGCAATTTTTGTACCGTGGAATCAAATCCTTTCATCAAATGTGTTTGCCCTTTCACCCGTGGAGGTGTTATAATGTGATAATCAATTCCACTATTCGTTGGTGAAGAGTAACCCAAGATTTGACGGCGGGTGGTGTTGATTAGTTGCCTTCCCTATAGTCTATCACTTTACAACTAGGGACGGCTAATGCAGATAGCTCTCAAATAGTATCTTTGCAAGAAATTCGAAAACAAACCCAATGGGTACTTTATATCAACTCAATAGCTATGATGTTTGCACCTTATTTTCAGTTTTGAATGTGACTCGTGGTGCACTAAAAGTTGGGGCTCCTGCCCTAATTACTAAGAATCAGATTTTGAGGGATGCAAGTAATTCTACTCTGTGATAACCCACATTTTGTTAGTAATGATCTAGTCAAGTCAATACACTAAAAGGCTGGATAATGTTAATCCCCCCCCCGTAGCGCAACGGTATGTTTGCGGACTTACAATGCTAGAAACCTGGTTTCGATACCCGTGGTGGGCAGAGCACAGATAGTCCATTGTGTAGCTTTGTGCTTTGCTTCAAACAAACAAAATATTAATTTTCTAAAATAAGATCCTAGCGATAAGTTTCCCTATGATGCAACACTCTTTATACCGCTGGTATTAGTTCTTTCAAAGTGACCAGGCATTTTTTTCAAGAGTTGTTGTAGACTGGTTTGTCAAGCAGCGTGAAGGAATCTAGAGTTGTTTGCCTTGTGGCTTACCCAATGTCCAGATTTTAATTCCTTTCAAATATTTTGAGGTATTCTTGAAACAAGCTTTCTATTTCAATATCAGTAAAAGAACTGGAGGTGGTTGTTCTTGATAAAAAATGTACTAAGTATTCCTATTGAAATATTCCAACACCTTGCTGTTTAAATTTATATTCATATTTTGTATAACAAATATGACAAAAATAAGACAACATTCAAATAAATGAAAAAGAATTTATATATATATAACAATATGCATTTTCCCATGAGAATTAAGGTTTTAATATATTTATCTTCTCCCATTTTTTGTGAGCCGTTTGTAATTTTTTAAATAAGTGTTATTTGTTGTTCCCCAGTGAGCCAGAGGGAAACAGGGTAGATTGTCTATTGAGTAGCCCTGCACTAAGAAAACAACAACCTTTTTTGTTTGTTTGTTTCTTTAATTACCTGCTCCTCTTACAGTGGCAGCGAAAAGTCTGTGAACTTATAATGCTAAAAACCGGGTTTCGATACTCGTGGTGGACACAGCATACATAATTAACCAACTGTGTAGCTTTGTGCTTATAGCTACAAACAAACACTAATTTCTATCTTCACCTGGCAACACTAAAATTTACTTATTAATCTAAAAAAAAAAAAAAGAAACATCTTCGCGAAATATAAGTACAATATTAAACAATTTTATAATTAGTAGAACATTTCCTGCTTCTAGTACGTTTGGATGAAAGGTGGAACTTGTTTAGTAAGACTAAAGTTCTAAATTAACCAATTAAAGCCTTGAAAGATCTTGTGAGGAACGATTCTATATATACAGACCATAAACAAACTGTTTATATAAATAAAAACATAAATAATAGCTTAAATAGCTATTATTGTAGCAAATCGGAAGTGGTTAATACATTTATTTATTGCACACTTACTAAAAATTTTTTGTTAGACCGAGCGTGGCCTATAGTCAATATGCCATACCAAGTATCCACGGTTCACATATTAAACTGTTTGCTCTTTTGGGCATGAGTACATTAAAACAGTAACTTAAAACAATTAAGTCTCACTATTCGACTAGAGTAGCAAAGAACTGATGGTGAGTGCTGTTGTCTAAGTGCTTTGCTTCGGATATATCAGTTCAAAAGTAATGAAAACTATCGCAGATAACCCATGTGTAACTTTGAGCGAATACCAAAGCAAACATTTTTTGCATCGATTAACTCATAAATTCGTAAGAATATTTTAATCTCATTTTTATCAATAACACATTTTGCTACGGAATTGCATATTGATTGTGAAAATGTTATTTATGTGACTCATTACCTTTTATGCTACTATAAGAAAAAAGAATCCTGCCTACTGAGTACCACATTTGAATGTTCGATTTATTTATTGAATACATCTTTCTTGATATTTAAGAAAATTGCGAGAGCAACAACAATCCGAACATCTGTTTTTGAACTATTTACATTTAATAATACAATAATATTTATTTATGTAACTTTTAATAGCGAAAAATATTTTTTTTTATTGATTCATGTCATGCTGGTTCATATACACACAATTTTTAGATCCTCCCTTAGTGTAACATATTTCCTTACGATCGAAGTTTATCGAACAAAACATCTGGTTTTCACCAGTTTATTATTAGTGATCAACTTATGTATTTCAAATTTTCCAATGATGAAACGAAACTGTGTTTACCAGTTCTTCATGATTTAATCGTATTTTGCTGCTAGTTATTGAGGAGCCACAGAATGTTGTCTGGTAGGTAACTAGACGGCTACATGCATGGTCAATCATTTAATTCAGCCTATGCTTTTCAGTTTGTAGGTTTCGACTAGTGTTTTCTTTTGTAGCCAATGTTTAATATATAGGTGTAATAGTGACATATTTTAAGAATAACATTATAATTTGTAACGATCTTAGTCCGAGTCTTTCAAACATGACAAAATACACGTATTTCCATTTATTAGGATTGAATGTTATTTTACTTTTTAATATCCACTGAACCTGAAAATGAAATATAACAATTTTCGTTCTTAAAACTAAAAGTTAAACAATATTGTAATTTTTCATGTTCTTAAATTTTATCACGTACAACTTGCAGCATTGAGTATGTTTTTAAAAAAGAAATTAACTCAAAACTCACTAGGATATAAGTGTGTTAAGGTTAATATGTAACATTCATTCAAGTCTGTGGGAATTCAACAACATTCTTGCTAAAGATTATGGGTTTAGAAGTTTCAAAGGGTTTATTCCCATTCAGTCTAATATAATCATGTATCACAATAAATGTTTTATATTTTTTCTGTAAACTTGATAGGCCACTTTATTGTAAATGAAAAAATATGAAAGTATTATTATAATTTCTTGAGAACAAGCTAGTTTTTCTTATGTGATATATTTGTAGTGTATATGTGCATTTACATAAAATATATCAATGTGTGAATGTTTTAAAAGTCTATTGTATTGTAAACATTATAAATACAAAAATGCTTTGTTTCTAAAACTGTGCCAAAGTGATTTTTGTATCTAAATCTTATTCTATATTTGACAACCTGATGATTGTATTTTTTTTAGGTTTATTCCTATTTTGTCTACTCTCATTTAGTCTTTTGCTAATGGTAGTAGATGAACTGGGATGTTACCTTTCAAATAGTATCATAACCTCTTAAAAACTTTAACATCTACACTTCAATTCTTTGGGATATTGTTTAGGATAATAATGAATGGCTTTAGTGTATTTGTTTTATCTCCTGTTTAAGCCATTATTATATATCCTTAAAATATTAGCTATATAACAGTTCCATTTGTAGTATTACATTATGTTATTAGTTTAGTTCCATTACTTTTGATGTGTTTGCCATATTAACTAATGTTGTAGCTTTCCTTTCTAAGTATTATTATGTTTATTGAATTTTCTATTTTCTAGAGGCTTATGTTTCCTTTCTAGCCTATACAGAAGATTTAATGTAATTTAGTATTTCCTATAGCCACCTCTATGTGTAACTAACAGGTGGTTAGTGGTAAAGTTTATTAGACATCTCACAAGGTTTAGCCAGCTTAGGAGATTTAGGTTAGTCCAAAATACATGTATTAAGCTAACAATGCAAAACAGTCTTTTTAATAAAATTATAATAATAAAAATAAACAAAAAGTAATGACATTTTTATATAATAAATAGTATAATCAATACTGTGAACAATAGTAACAATAGAAATTTGACACAGTTTAAATAGTAATGTGCAAAAATGCAGATCTTTCTCCCCTCTGATGCTAAACTCTTGGGAAGGCTTAATGAGTTTTTGGTCAAAAGACCCCCAGAGGGAAGAAATGAGCAAATTATAATAATTTCACATTTTCAAAAAAGTTTTCTACTATGGCATTACTTCAAGCAGACAGCCAATGTTTCTCTGTACCCTAGGTAAGATATTAATTTATTGTTACTATTGTTCTCATATCAACTCCCAAAACAGATATCCTTGAGAACCCACTAATTGCATTGCCTTAATAGGACATGTATCAACACTCTTTGCATTCTACACCAAGTCAGTTTTATGTTTACCCATTAGATTTTCTGCCAGTTCCATAATGAGTATAAAGCCTGATTAAATCCAATGGTGTAAGGTCATTAAGTCAGATCAAAAATTGCCACAAGCATGTTTTTTGTTTTTCAAATTTCAAAACCATTATGTCTATTCTAAAGTGCTTGATTGAAGTTCTACCTGTACAAAGACTTAATTGATGATAGTTTTCATCTGGTTTCTCCTATACTGTAGCAGATATGTTGACATTTCAAGTGATGTCGATAAGCATTATTTTTGTGTTTGAAAAACATATTGGTCAAGTTCTTCAAAAAATAAAAATCCTCTAAGGTTTTTGAAAATAGCTGTTCAGAAAATGGAAATTTTTTGTTTATGTGGCTTTTTTACAAGCTTTTAGAGACTAAACCAGGTTTCATAAAATTAGTCATATTTATTTTATAAAACAGTTTGTATTAAGATTGTATGCAATTTCCTAAACTTCTTTCAAATCCTAATTAGAATAATTTATAGACAGAAGCTGCATTTATTTTCTTACAATTTGAGATGTCGTGATTCTGATGGACTGACTGGGCTTTGGCCATACACCTATTTTTTGTATTTTTGTCATAGATTGGCATAATACAAGAATTTGAACTGTTGTAGTTATAGGTCTTAGATCTATACTTTTTTACTGTATTTCCTGAGAAAATGTTTATCTGGAAAGATTTCTGTATTGAAAATCCAGTGTATATAAGAAATAAAGAATGGGCTTAGGGCACTCAACTTGCAATCTGTGGGTTGCGAATTGTAATCCCATCACTAAACATTTTTGCTCTTACAGTCAAGGGGACATTATAACATGATGGGGAACCCCACTATTCGACTAGGGTAGCCTGAGAGTTGGTGATGGGTGGTATTGACTAGCTGCCTCCCCTATAGTCTGTTACTTCTAAATTAGTGAGGGCTATAGTAGATAGTCCTTGAGTAAAACTCAACAAAGAAAACTAATGAAATCTAAAAATAAGGTTTTAATGTACATTTTAAAAAAGTATGAAATTTGGGGTAAAAGAAAAAGAGGTAAAATCAACAAAAAAAAAATGGAGCTTTATAAATAATAATAAAAGTAAGGATTAGAGAAGAAAAAAAAGTTAGTGTGTAATAAATATATGTTAGAACTAAAATAACTGGTGATAAGTGGAAAAACATACAAGGCACAAAAAAGACTATGGGACACCCTAAATAATACAGTACTAAATTTCTTTTTTATAAGTATTAAAGAAAAATTGTGTATAAAGTGACTTCAGTAAAACTAGTGAAAATAAGATCAAGCAACATTAACTCTAAGAATGATATACAAGGTAATGTAAAATGCAGTGGTTTCATACAAAGACAAGAAAACCATAATTTCTCCCCAGATAACAAAGAACCGTGGACACCTCATGAAATAACAGTGCATGACTTCATAAGGTTCTACATTTAAGCAGAATCTACTAAAATAGTAATATGCATAGGTTACAAATGGGAGCATCCACCTCTAAAAATAACTAAATTAGAATTTGAAAGGTTTGTGAATTATAAAAATTTTTATATTGTGGAACATCAGTTAGCCTTTTTAGCCATCAAGCATGTCCTAACACACAGTGTCTCTCAACAAAGAAAACTAACTGCTAAATCAAACTATGAACTTCTAAATATTCTTCAACCCTTTTCTTAAGTTCAAGTGTTTGATTGTTTCAACAGGAAAAAAAATTTGATGTATCATCTTCTTTTATTCTTTTAATTTTTGATATTTCAGTCAGATCACCCCTAACTCTTTTGAAGAGAGCACATGACACCTCTTTCAGAATCATCCAAGAAGCTCTCTTATAAACTTTCTTCAACAACTTAATGGCCTTCATAAGAAAAGTGAGACCAAGCCTGCACATAATATTCCAGATGAAGCTAAATTAGTGACTTGTGAAACAAAACCTTAGCCTTTTTGAACTTGTAGTCAGTATTTCTGTATATATTGTAGCATTCAAACTTTCTCTATTACTATAGCTAGCTGAGTTATGTATGTATCAGTCCCTACTTGTGTTTATAAAATTTTAATTTTTTTTATCTTGTTTGTTTCCTTTTTATTAGCTTTGTTTTGTGTGCCAGCAATACCAAGCATTGGATGCGCATATACCTGATTTGATTTTATTACTCATCAGAATCTCTACCAACCTACCCTCAAATGTAATTATATGCCCAAAGTAGTGCATCCTTCATTTTATTTATATATATATATATATATATATATATATATACACACATACATACATATATACTAGTGTCCTTTTCGATATATCAAAGGAATGATTGGGATCCCATATGGGAGTTCTGTGAAAGAATTAGTGATAAAGTTTGTTATTTTTTCTGTATGCTTGTCTGGAAATGATGAAAATTTGTTGAAATAGTGAAATTTTGATTCACTCTGTAAACATGTTTATATATAGCGAATTAGGCAGCTTTATAAGTACAGTAAGCTTTAGTTTTGCTCAGCCAATCCTGTGAAATAGTCATTGTTAATATTCAGACATTTTAAAAGTGGTTTTAAGTGGGCAATTTTTATGGCTACCATTTTGTTTCATCACGATCCCTACTATTAAGTACTACCATACTTAACCAACATGATGTAACCCAACATTCTATACGTTTTACCACTTCTGATAGAACACTGTCTCAAAGGCTTAGAACATACATCATCCATTAATTCAAGATCCTTCTCCTCATTCACATAACTAAGAGGGTTCCCACCTAAATTTTGTATGTAATCGATAACCTAAATGCATAACCTTACACTTGCCATAATTAAGTGCCATCTGCCATATGTTTGTTAACCAACCAACTAATGTAAATTTATCTTTCAAATCACAGTATCCTCTCTATGACCAGTGAAATCTTAGATTTGTTTACACTATAAGCATATGTAGCCAATTTTTGACTATACTCCCGTAAATGTCACTAATGGAAATAAGGAATAGTAATGGTCCCAGTACAGGTATCTGAGGCACACCACTTGTAACAGGAGCCCAGTTTTAGTGAATTCAATTAATAATTTTTCTCTTCCATCAGCCAAGTTAACTTTCATTCCATTTTATTAACATATCCTCTATGTAGAATGGGGTATTTTTTTCTCTCAAATATTTTATACTGTACCTTATCAAAAGCTTTATTAAATTCCAGGTAAACCAAATCTACTTTCATCCAGATATGAAATGTTTGTAGTAAATAAATAAATAATAATAAGAAAGTAGTAAAAATACAAATTGAAGGTAACTTTAGCTAAAAAAAATGCAAGAAATAATTTAGGAATTAAAAAACAACAACTACATTATGAAATAGGAGAAGTATAAAAAGAACATAGTGGAATAACTATAAAATGAAAAAGCATTGCATACAGCTAAAGTAGATGAGAGGAAAAATAGCAAAGATGAATATAAACTACTGTAATAAAGATAATCGTAAAAACTCCATGAAAAAATCCCACTAAATCAATATAAGCTTTTCAGAAATATTTATAAAAAACAGTTAATCCAATGTGATTTACAGACAAGGATAAAGAAACCAGTCAATTTTATAAATAAATAATTAAAAAGAATTAGGATTGAAGGAAAGCAGAGCAAAAAAAAAGGACCTAAAGAAACTGTAGTCACAAACATAAGAATCAAGACAAAGAAATCTGGCATCATTATACAACATGTAAAGAAGTAAGGAAACAATCAGAAACCAGACTGACTTGAAGAAAGAGCAATAAAACCTAAAATATGTACATTTGGAAGAATAAACAAACCTAGTTTCATAACCAACAAATATTAAACAGATGGAGGAAGTATAAAGGTGGAGTGTGAAACAAAAGAAGGGGACAGACCAGAAAATCTATGGCAGTAAACAAAAGTAGGAGTTTAGAACCAGTGAGAACTAGAGATAGATATACTTTTAGGATAAAAATATCTCTGGAAACCAGAATAATAAGTGACTTTTGGAAGTTGTACTATGTATTACAATACCTATTTTACACCCACTGTTGACACACAAATAATTCTTAAGCCTTGTGGACTTCAATGTGTAGAGAAAGCATTTGGAAGAAAATAAAAACCAAACCATTGTGTTTTAACATAATAAAAGGTAAAGCACCCTTAGTCAAATACATCTGAAGAAGTAAGCAAAAAAATTTTCAAAGTAAATTAAAATTTTTATAACATAAAATATTCCAGTTTTACCACCTCTGAAACATAAAAAAAGCAGGGGTGAATTTCATCTGGTACTTGTCAAAAATGGTTTTAGAGATGATACTGAGTCGTGGCATACACTGTATTGTACAAAGTTATAAATATTAAATTACCAAACTCCAATCTTAGAAGTACTTTTCCCTACAGATAAACATATACTGAGTACTGACAAAATTTTTCAAAAGTAGTTCTTGAATGAAAGAAATAAAGCATAAAAAAAATGGACAAAGTGAAAGTTGATATAACTAAAACTGAGTAAAACACAAAATTGCACGAAAACAAGAGCAAAAAAAACTAATTTTTTAAATAGCTGAATAATAATCAAATAAAAACAAAAGATGTGTATATAATAGTTACAATATATATATTTATATAAATTAATACTTTTTACTAAGTTTTGATATTTTAAGAAGAAAGAAATTGAATTGTGAATCATTGTAAGTTACTTATAAAAGAATTATAAAGTTAAACTTCAGAATTGGCTTGTACATGTGGAAGACTTAACATTTTCTGATACCTTTGTTTAATGAACCATTAGTTTTTGTGCAGCATAAAATAAGCATTACGTGTAGAACATTCTTTGATTTTCTTTACAGATTTGCCTGTTTAAACGTGACATTGTTTATTATGATAATTGCCTGTAGTAATGATAAATATAATTATTTTAGATAGCAACATAAGAAATATGATGGTGAGTCTATCAAGTTAGTATATCTTGCCAAAAGGTTTATAAAAAATTAAAGTAACTCTTGTATTTCTTACCTAATACAATACAGAGTTCAAAGGTGCAAAAGATTTTTATGGTAGAAACAATTGTGCAATGATTGAGTTATACACATTATTAAAATTCTTATCTTCACAACATTTAAATCTACCAAGATTGCTAGAAAAAAAAATGTAGCTTTCATGCTTATGACTTGTATTCCAAGCATATGGTGAGCATACAGTGTATTACCATTATTAATATTCAATTCTGATTAGAGTAAGCTACCTGCATAGGTTAGATCTAAAATTCAACCCAGTAATGGATATAGTTAATTTCTTACTTATAATGATTAGAATGCATTGTTTCATCAGTTGAGTACTTTTGCTGTTAACAATATTTTGGCCATAAACTCAATAATATCTAATGAGGGTTAGCCAGGTTAAGAGAATAGGGATAGTCTTAGTTTATATACTAAAACTAACGGTGCAAAATAGTCCCTATAGTAATAAAATAGATATGATATTAAGCATTCTATTTAATACTGCTAATGAAATTTTTGTTGTAAGCTATATTTTTAATGTTGTAATTTGTTAGGTGGAGGGTGTAGAATGTCTAGAAAGTTCAAAGAATGTGGCCAGGTTTTTTCTAATATATTTGAAGCTAGATTATAAATACAATATGGTTGTGAAGTGTAGAGGCATGTTAGCTATCTTGGTTACTTTATAAACTAAGTTGCTTTATATTACTTTAGTTAATGCCATTTATAACTTAGGTCCACAGCAAGTTATGATAGCATGCAAGACTGTAGAAATGTTAAAGGAGGAAATAAAGTAATTTATTATTGTTACATGGGCTGGGCATTGAATTATTTTTGTCAAATAATTTAAAATAACCCATCAGAGAGAGAAGTATGCTATTATAGTATCATTAAAAAAAAAAAAAAGAGTATAACTTGTCTGTTTATTGTTCATGTAACCTAGTGAAAATACATATACGTACATATTTTTCCTTTCTTTCAAGTACCCAGTGAGGCTACTGCATTTTTAGGAGTGGTGGGAGCCTTCCTAGTCCTGTTGGTAGTGTTTTACTTATATTTGAAGAAGAGCCTCTGTTTTACTGCAGAAAATGACTTTCCATGTTGTAATGTTGGAGAGGAAGAGAAGAAAAGATCTGTGGTGAAGAACTTGGGTAAGTTGTAGACATTGTTAATTAAGTGATTTTAAAATATATTCTTATGTGGCATGAAAGTATTTAATGTTAACTGGTGTTTGATATTGCAATACTTATCCTCCTGGCATGGAAAGAAGGTTAGATACTATTACTGTCAGTGTATATGACGATACTTTTTACTCTCAAAACAATGCCTGATTTTACTCCTCGTCTTATATACAGATTCAAAGATAAGAGTTCCAGTAAGAACACTTCTGTTAATAGCATATTTAACCAAAATTACATTGTTCCTTTTACTATTGTTTGCTTTTTTGAGTAAGTGCGTTGATATCAAGCCACCTACTGCTTTACAATAACATATTTGTAATTGTATTACTTGTCTTCACTCTTCATTACTCACATGCTAGTTACAATTAATCACAACATTTGTGATTTGAAATGCATTTATCTCATCTGTCATACTAAAATATTACTAATATTATATCAAAAAGTTAGTTTTTGTAACGTACACTAATTTGATAAACATAGTAGATCACTATATCTTAAGGCTTAGTGTTTTTTTTTTTTTTGTAATAGAAAAAGAGTCCAACTGTGAAGAAAAACTTTGTAAAGTTGTTTATTACATGTGTGTGACTTAAGTTATGCCACATTGAGCTGTCTGTAGTGTTTGAAGAGTATAAAAAACACAATTATGGTTGTATTGATTACTCCAGAGTGCAGGTTAGCACAGTTTAAAAAATAACTTTTAAGAATTTCTTTACAAAAGTAACATCCTAGACTTTCTTGACAATAGAGGTCATCTTGTACACCGAACTTCAAAGAAATACACGTAATTTGCTAGAAAAAATCTTATACATGGGATTGTCTTATACACCAGTAAATATGTTACCCTCCCTTACAAAAACATTCTCCTTGTATTTTACAGTGTTTCTTGACTTATGCTCCAAAGTGGAAGCAAGTCATATCATAAGATTATGCTACTATATAGAAAAAAAACAACTTATTGTGAAATCATCAAATTAAATATGTGAAGTAATTTATACTTTCAGTGGTATGATCTTTGATCTAGAAGTTCCTAGAATTTATCATAAATTTAAGGAATCAATTAAATAAATGTATGCAGGGGTCAACTTTAGCTAGACTCACTGATTTACTATACCAGCAATTGATTTTAGAGGCAGTACTGAGTAACAACATAAAACAAGTTATAGTAATATGAAGTACAAATTTTACAATATTTTCTATGTTTTCAAATTATAAAACAGCTTAAAATATCATGGGGGGAGTACAGTTACCCTCCAAGAAATCCCAGGATAACGAGTAAGAACATAAAAACTTTTCAAGAATTCTCCTCTTTACACTTCACACTTATGGAACCAAATGTTTAGATTCTTTCATATTGTTTTTTGATATTCATGGTGTATGCATTTAAAGATAAATACATGCTATTTAATTACATATCATGTGTTTCTCATGCTTATATGAAAAGAAAATGCTGGTTGTATGAGATGTTATGTAAGGCAGCATAAGAAAAAAATTTAGGTGACTGAGAGCTGTTGAGACCACACTGTTTTCACTAAACAGGCACAAAGACTCTCAGCCTAGATGAAATAGACATCAAGCTTTTGTCATCCATAATCCTATCCAACAAGTGTTAAAATGAATTTAAATTAATACCACGAGCTTTAGTATGAGGTAACCATTCCAACAACCTAAATCTTGATGAAGTAGTGATTTTTCCTTACTTCACACCTTATTATACTATGTGTAACACTCGGAAAGAGCTTCCAAGAGAATTACCTAAGAATCTAACAGCATTAATACCTTAATCAAACTTCAGCTTCATCATAGTCTGGCATAACTTGGTAGTTAGGGTGCCTGACTCACAGGACATAGATGAAGGAATGGTCAATAAATTACTTAAATTTGCAGATGATATTAAGGTCTTGGGTGTTGCTACCTATAAAAAGGATGTTGCTGCTTTACAAAAGGATTTAGATCATTTAGTGAGTTGGGCAAATAAATGGCAAATGGGTTTTAGTTATAATAAATGTAAGATAATGCATGTAGGTTATCAAAATTTGAACTATAAGTATAATTTGGATGGGAATAACTGTAACAGTGTCATGATAGAAAGGGATTTTGGTGTTGATCTGTTTCTTATGCCATCCAAGCAGTGTGCTGTTGCTAGTGGTAGGACAAATAGGATTTTAGGTTGTATCAACAGAAATATTGAATACAAGTCTAAAGAGATTATAATTTCATTGTATAGGTCACTGGTTAGGCCATCTTTGGAATATTATGTTGAGTCTTGGGCTCCATACCTTATCAATGACATTCAATTGTTGGAAATGGTTCAGAAGAGTGTTACTAGAATAGTGTCTGGGATGGAGGGGTTGTCATACACGGAGAGGTTGTGGAGGCATTAAATATAAGTGAGTTTAAGAAAAAGCTTGATAACTATATGAATCATAAGGGCTGGCTTTAAGATTTGTTTTTTAATTTATTCTCTCAAAATGTTTGTCTTGGAAAAAGAAGAATTAGAGAGGATCTGAATGAGATGTTTATGATTGTAAAGGGAATCGATAGTGTTGATACATCAGCTTTTTTATATATGACAGTGAGAACAGTAGGACTAGGGACACAAATATGAATTTTGGCAGGGTATGAGTCATCTTCACCTAAGACAGTTTTATTTTTCAAACAGGGTGGTTGGCCTTTGGAATGGGTTGACTTCTGATATTGTGGAGGCAGTAAATACAAGTGAATTTAAGTAAAAGCTTGATAACTATATGAATCATAAGGGTTGGCTTTAAGATTTGTTTTTTAAATTATTTATTTAATAGATTTAGTTTAGTTTAGAGGATGAGATAGCAGAGATGGATTAGTAGGTCTCTTGTTGTCCCAAAACATTATTTTTATGTTATAACATCATAGTTTAACTTGTATTAGTGATTTGGGTTTTGTAAGAGAACACTGCACACAGTGTAAATGTTAAGTTATTAATGTGTAATGTATTTTGTATGTAACATGTGTGATAAAATGATAATGTGGGATATATAATGTAATGGTTGATCTCTCTCTCTCTCTCTCTCTATATATATATATATATATATGTATGTATAGAAAAGTCACTGTCTGTTGATAACACTTGGTAATGCTCAAATTGCTTCAGTGGTTAGAGTACCTGAACCTGAAGTGGAAGCCTTTTGTTCAAATATCAGTACAGTTGGAATTTTTTATAATTTTTAGGTATTGATGAGTTATCATGTTTAGAACAAGCTCTTTTAATATTTAGAAAAGCAAAAATACTATGATATTTTAAATTAATATTTGTTAACATTGGATTTCAAAGTAGCTCAATGGCGGTGTTTTTTTTGTTGTTGTTTATGTATACAAATGATCATATTTACAGCAAGCTCTTTCAATACCATTATATATTAAATCAGGGATTTGAGATATTGATTAACATTAGATTTTAATAGATGGCATGTTTACAGCATCATGCCACTTCAGCTTTTCCTTTCAGTTGAGCACTTCTAACACCACCTGTGAAATAAATTCTAAACTAAAATTGTGAATAAAATTAATAATAATTCTAAACTAAAATTGTGAATAAAATTAATAATAATTCTAAACTAAAATTGTGAATAAAATTAATAATAATTCTAAACTAAAATTGTGAATAAAATTAATAATAATTCTAAACTAAAATTGTGAATAAAGTTAATAATAATTCTAAACTAAAATTGTGAATAAAATTAATAATAATTCTAAACTAAAATTGTGAATAAAATTAATAATAATTCAGAAACAATGTAAGGAAGAAAACATTGCTTAGCATGAAAAAAGAAAAGCTAGGTTTATGGCACAACAAAACCAAGAAAGCTTAGCAAAAATTAGGATAACTGAAACAGAAGGAAAATCATTGACACGTCAAAGGGAGCTCCTGAAGAAACAAAGTGAAAAAGACAAATTGATGCTGAAAGACATAGTGCAAACAGATTTTAGCCCCTCTATATCTTTGCTATGCACTGATTTGGTACATCATCTGGTTATTTGTTAATTGATATCTGAATCTTAAATAACCATACAGTGCTGGATTGGTTCCTGAGCATTTTTTGTGTATTTTATATATACAAGGCTGAATGTAATACTTGTTACAATTTATTACAGTTTTTAGAGAGTTTTTTTAATTAAAATTGCAAAGTGTTTGATTAAGAAAGGCTTATCTAGATCATGCCTACAGTACAATAAAACAATGTTGAAATAAAATGAGTTTTCTCAAGTTAACTTAATTTCTTGGTAATTAAAGACAATTTTGTGGAATAGGATACAATAAAAAGTTAATTGTATTATGTAATAGTTTTGCATAAAGTGAAAAAGATCTGATATTTGCAAAAAAATTAATTACATGTTTGTTGTGAATTTATCCTTGCTTTGAGTAATCAAATGTAATAATTATTTACTGTACACTTTTCTGCTTGTGAAACTGGTTATTTTTCACAATATAATCTTACAAAATATCTGATAGATAATAATCCATCATGTATACTGTGTAACAAACAAATTGCTAAAAATTGACAGTGACTAAGATATTTCCTGTTTATTAGGAATAGTTTTACAACAGTTATAATGATAATTAATGATTACAAAATACTGTAATTCATGGCATTAATCTAGTCTGCTATTAAAGTATCTCCTTTAAAAAATAATCGTAACAAATGTAACTAATTATACTGTTACACATTAGAGCATTTAAATTGAAATAACTTTTAAGTGGATATCTTCAAACTACTTTCATTAGAACTTTTAATACATTTTTTCTTTGGTACATTTATTTAAAAGCCAATTCGACTATGATATATAATCAAAGGTAACAAAAAACAAGAATAAGATATTAAATGTTCTCTCAATTAAATGATCTTGTTTGTTTCTAGGCTCAGCATTTGCCTATAGTGATGGCTATTCATCAACAGACAGTGAGGATGAAGTTTTGCAGAGATTACAAAAATCAGCTAGTTTTCAAAGTGGACCTCGGAGAGCTACTAGCAGCCATGGCATTGATGAGGCTAAGAAATCTGATAAATTCTCACACCTGTGGGAGAGAAATGGTATGTTCATATTTTAAAAATAGCATTAGAAGAATTATTAGAGTCTAAGGTACAGTTAATGTGAGAATATAAATGTAAATAAACCTAGTTTTTATTAAGTCTTATTTCCACTCTTGTTAAAAACAAATTCACATGCTTACTCTGAGAAAATATATTTGAACGTTGTTTCTCTTTTTTTTGTGTGTTTGTGTACAAGTTTGTTTATCATGAAGTCCAATAATGTTTTTTTTACCTCCAATTTTGATCATTGTTTTATTGATATGTTTTTTAATTGTTAGTGTGATATCTTTATCAGAACATAAGGAAAGCTTAGATGTGTAATTTTTATCACTCTTGCTACATCAATTTGTTTATGGTAGTAGAATAGCAATTCTTTGAGAAAGAATATTATAGATAGAGAAGTTTATTAACAGTGTCACTAAACAATACAATTTGTAAGCATTTTTATGTTAATTTCTGTAAACTTATTGGTAGTTATTTAAATAGGAATTATGTTTGCACCAGCTTATGGTTCATGTTTGGAGAAAAAAGTGCCAATACTTTAAACATTTGACCAGCTTATGAAACATTTTTCTTTACTTGTACTATTATTACCACAGAACTTAAAATGCATATTAAATATATTGTATGCTATTTTCTGTAGCAAGGTGTTACATATTTATTTTTATCTTGCCATTTATAAGTCTAAATTGAAATGTAAAAAAACACTATATTTTATACATTTTTCCAAATATTATTTGACAAACATTTAAGTCTGTTACAGGTTGCTTTTAAATGATGTACTTAAATTGTTCTGTTTGTTTTCACAACTTTACAATTGTTTTATCAACATAAATAGTAACATAGCAAAATGTCAGAAAATGTTAGAAGGTTCAGGAAAACTTGTACCTTTTAAAAAGTGTGGTCAATTATAGCAGTCTCCTTTTTTATAAAAATAATATTATAGAACTTTACGATAATGGACAAAACTAGGCTGCAGTATTCTTCTGAACATGAACATTTCCACATCCTCACTTGTTAAAGGTACCCAGTAATGATTACACCAGATTGAACTTAATACTAGAAATAAACAACCTTATAACACCAAAATAGTTGTTATTATTTAATTTAGACACTCAATGTTTTGCTTTACAGCTTATTCAGGAGCGATCGCTAAAACACAAAATAAAACTGACAGTACAAAGCTTTAAATGATTTAAATAATAAATTATATTCTAATCTATAATGTGCATTTGACATATTAAGTAATAAAGCTTATTGTTGAAATAATTAATGAAACAAAATAAGTGAAATGTTGAGTGTCTAATTAAATAATAACATTTTGGTGTTATAAGGTCATTTATTTCTTGTATTAATGTCTTCTATACACCAATATGCACTACAGAAATTAAATAAACAGACTGAACTTAGCATAATACTATTATATATATATAAGTAGTAGAACATATTAAAATTTGACAAATTATATAGAGTTGTGATATTTCACTCAATTTGCCTTGTTATCTAACAACATAAAATTTGAATATTTGGCCACTAATATATGCTCTTTTTTAAAAGTTATTTTAAAACTAAAAACATCTCTGGTGTTGTTGATACTGTAAGTATTCACATCTTCTTCAAGGTTTTTAATTAGTCATCCCTGTTTATGTATTTGTTAACAGCAGACTTTATAATACACCTCTTTTAAAAGCTTGAATTGGTCATTCGTGTGCTTTTATACTAGTTTAACAGAATTCTCAGAATTCAACAAAAATTGAAGTTGCAAAGAAAATTCTAGAAAATTGCAGAGCAGACTTATTCAAAATCAAAATAACAACATGTTCAAACATGCTTATTCCATTTATATTTTTCTTTAAAAAGTATAATATAAAAATGTAACAGTTTTATTGGCATAAAATGATATAAACAGTGCTCTGAAAATTGGTCTTTGAAAATTGTTTGGGTGCTACAGCATTAAATGATTTAAACATTTTGCAGTAGAAAAAGGTTTTTTGTTACATTTTAACAATACATAAATATAGAAATTAACATGCATTCATAAGAGTTGATCTTATTAGGCTTTACACCTATACATATAAGTGTTTTTTTTTTCATGTATTTTCTTTATATGGATGAACAAATATCTGTTCTCCCAAATGCTATTATTCTGCTAGTACAACGTGTTGAAATTTTACAAAATATGTAGAGTTGTGGTATTTGAAGACTGTCCAGTTTATACTGGAAAAGTTGTATACAAAATTTCCTTATAAACGTTTTCAATATTTGTACCTTCAGGGACATACATTTGTAATCAATTAAATAATTATACCCTGGATAGAGCTAACTGTGAGAAAAAACAGGCTCCACTAAGTGCAACAGATATCAGTTTTCCCAAATTATAATACTGTATGTGTAAGATGTCGGTTAAGTTATAATGATTGTCCTACTTAAGTCATCAAATCACTCATTAGAAAGTCTGACACATTTCCTTATTGATATATTTGTTTTAGATGTGTCAACAATACTACTTTCAGGAAAAACTTACCTTAAGAAGAGTTACAAAAATGCTTCACTGCATTACAGATCATTCCAAGACATGCTGACAGTGACAGCCACATATTGCCACCATATGTAACATGATAAAGTGTTTGCATGGCTACTAACAGTACTATCACACACAAGCTTGAAAGATACGTTTTATTATCATCAAATGGAGAATAACGAAGTTTATTGGAATATTTAATTTTATAAAATGGATTTTGTCTTTTTCATGAAAGTAGTATGGTACAAAGGGAGATTTATGAATAATTCATGCTTTATTGATGTTGTAGAAATTTGTTTATAATATTTTATTAAATTTTTCTTCCACCAAGTAGAACCAAGTGCCATGGAAGAAGAGTCAGTTGGTAGTGAGAACAAGGACTTCATTCTTTTGGTGGACAAAGTACAACATGAGAAGCTTGTGAGCGGTTCTTCTGGGACGGAGGAGACAACGGAACAGTGCTCTGAAGATGCAACTGCACCAGTAAATGGTTCACATCAGTTTCACTTTGAAAACAATGCATTCCAGAAATGTGAAGGATTGGCAGCTACCTCTAGTCAGGCAATATCCACAGCAGAAGATCCTTTGCTTAACCAAGAAGTGAGTTATTTGAAGATAAAATATTTATTTTGAATAAGACTACTTATTGAGATGATCTGCTTTAAGTGAATTTAGAAGTAATTTGCTCTTGAGTGAAATATCTCATGTTAAGGTAGTGGTTGATAAAAATGTGGTAGAAAAAAACGTATTACATTGTCTAACCTTTTTGTATTTTAACTTGTAGTTGGTGTTCAGTATTAGGTCTGACTGGCTCCTGAAAACTTTTAGCACGTTTAGAAGCCATTTTTTACATATACATGTGTCTATCTGTCTATATGTGTGTGTGTGTGTAGATATATATATATATATGTGTGTGTAGATTTTCTGATACTGTCACAAGTATTTTAGTAGATTATACAATTGTGTATTATATAAATGATAATTTGTAACAAAATTTTTAATTAACTATTATTGTTTTTCGTCATTCTGAACCTCATGTAGTTTTCTCTGTTTATGATTGACAGTTCTTTGAAATTGGAATGTTATTTTTGATGTAAAATATGTGATATGTGGTTGTAAAAATTAAATCTTTGTTTAATTATAAGGCTTATTAGACACATGGAATAGATTTATACAAATAAACACAAGTTCTCAATTTAAACATTTCTCAGTTGTACTGGCTGTCAGTTACAGAAATAGAAGAACTCAAACTAAAACATATAACTACATTAGAGAGCAGACAAATTTCTGTTTAAATAAATGTTGTTGTATTTTAATATAGCTGATTATATGAAGTATTATAATCACCCAGAATCATAACTATAGTTACAGGGAAATAAATGTAGAGGGCCCAATTACTTCTTGTGTGTGTGGGTGTGGGGGGGGGGCAGCATCTTCTGTAGTTATGCCACCGCAGACAGAAAAGTAAAAACCAAAACTGTCATTTTGAAGTACATGTTTAAGCTTAACATATCACCACTAGCTTTATGATAGAATGTTCAAAATTATTAGCTTGGATGAGTTTATCACCAAGCAGGATCTTGTGTAATATCAATGACTTAAGTTTTGATACAAACACTATTATTCATATTGAGCATCATACTGTTATAAGGTTGTATAGTGGTAATGTCTCTTGCATTTTGTATTGATGTGTTTTGACAATGTTAATTTTGTCTTGATATTAAGTAATATTCCATTGATGACTTTTCATTTTGTGTAAGTATTGTTACGACAGCGGAAGTCACGCATCACTGGGAGCATGCACGCTGGAGTTTCTAGAAGGATCATGAATTTTCCTGGCAACTCTAATTTGTTTGAGGCACCCTCTTTTTTCTAGTATATAAGTCTGGCAAAGAAGGCCAGCAACATAGGCAGATAGATTGAAGAGATAGATAGATAACTGAGTCAAGCGAACAGTAGGTGCCGTAAGTAAAGTGTGTGAATCACTGTGATTTATACCGTGTGTTATAAAAGTTGTTATGTTTAAAGTGACTGTAGAAATTCTGTGTACTAAAAATTTGTATCAAGAAAGAATAAACTAGTTTTAATTAAGAAAGGACTTGTGTCGCTGAAGTTCCTTGGAAAGAATTTATGCCAGAAATTAACAAACGAGCAGATACGTAACAGTGTCATCAGATCACTTTATAATTATCATGTTTTTGTATATAACTTTAGAATAACAAGTTTGAATGTCCAATAAGAATGTATAATTCCAATGCTGTATAAATCTTTGTTGAAGCAGTTACTGTTTGGGTGCTTTAAGTTGTCTATTTCAATATTTTTTAATATTTTAGGACAGGCTTTCAGACAACAGTGATCTTCAAGGTGTGCTCGCTGATCAAGATCGTGGAAGAATTACTCGATGTGGGATGTTGGAAGCATCATTCCTTTATGATCCAGAAGCAAAAAAAATCACTATTCATGTTTTACAAGCCCAGGATCTCCCTTCCAAAGATCGTGGAGGCTCCAATTATTTTCAGGTATTGCAATTCTCATTGTGTATATTTACTTAACACATAGTTACATTAGAAATGACTGAACTTGAAATATATTCCTGAAGTTGTTATAATTGAGCAAGGTTATACTTACACAGAAGGAAGTTTGTATGCAAAGTGACTAAGATCTAGAAATTGAAACATCACGGAGAATATTTAAACATGAAATGAGACATTAATCCTTTTGTTGAAACAAATAAGAAATTTATTTCACTGTTGTCACAGTAATGATAAAACTGCATGGTAATTAAAACATTTTCTTTCTTACTAGCATTTAAATTTTGTTTATGTACATCTGTGGAAATGGACATCTTGTATAGTAAATAATTAGGGAATTTTCCAATATCACTTTCTTGCTTGGACAGGGTGATAGAACACAAGCTATGATATTATAGTTATAATGATTAGAACTAATTATTTGAATAAATCTGTGGAAGATAACATAAATTACCACTATGGTACAAGTTGAGTACACATCCATCTGTATAATTAAGGTTTCATATTTGTTTGATAGTTTTAAGATGAAAATGGATTTAAGTTGTGTTGGGGAGTTGCAGAACTACTAATCTCTGGAGGACCAATGCAGGTATATTTATGATTTGAGTGCTGAATTCTAATTATGTGGAAACCATAGATATCATACAAAAAAGAGGAGTTAAACACAATTATGTTCTTTGTTTTTGAAAATATAATATGTAGTAATCAATATTATGTTTTTCATAAAGATTTTTTCTACGTGTACCCAAAAAAAAGTCTTGATGTACAGAATACTGTAATAGTTATTTTAAAACCTACTTGAACATCACTTAACTTTTTACACAAAAATCTGAGGAATTTTATCTTTGCTTAAGTGTAAAGCACTTTGAGTAGTAATGCTTAGTTTATTTCTAAATTTCTAAATGTGTAAATTTAATATCTTTAGATTTAAAATTTACCTTTGAAAGTCATTATTACCTTGTTGCGCTTGAACTCGTGCTGTCAACAAAACTTAGCTCAAAATTTTCTGAATTTCCTTTATGCATTGTAGAGAATGCGTTATTTACCCATAATTCTCCAGTCTTTCACTTTCCATGTGAATTATTGCACAAGCATCATGGGATTTTACATAAGCTCTGCTTACTCACCATAATTTAGATTTAATTGAAAGTTACAGTCATGTTGAAAATTTTGTTGTGGAGAGGTGGGAGAAGGTTTCAGAGGTAAGTCCCTGTTTTACATTCAAAAAATGTAAAATTCAAATCAGGTAGACTTACTTTAGAAATGCTGAAATCCAAAATACCCACATTGTAAAGGAGGTGGGAAATGAGTAACATGAAAAAAACGAAAAATATAAAACTAAAAGTTACAGAGCAGGAAGATGATAATATATACTGCTAGAAATGTTTAACCATGCATAGCTGGAATATAATATCTAACCAGAAAATAACTTGCAGAACTGTATTCAAATGAGATGGGGTGGAGCAGATCAGCCTTATGAAAAGGTTGGACTTAAAGGGTTCTAAAAAAGAAGACATTCTCAGCAGGATACCTCTTCATCCACGATGCTCTTTAATTTAGGCAAAGAGGTAGGTTGTGTGAGCTTTAATGGTATATTGAACATGATGACATAAGCAGGTAGGAGGAGTACTATTTTTTTCTCCTGAAGTGAAAGGTTCTTTAGGGTGCAGCCCAGACATATTATGAAAGGGCAGACTTCCAGAGAATGGCTAGTGAGTTACTTAACTGGCCAAATTAGTTATCACTCGGGGAGAATCAAAGAAAAACCCAAGCAGTTCCTAGCTCATCATTGTGAGGACAGTCCAATGGAAGCATCAAAACATAAAGAAATAATAATAAAAATGTAGATGATCCCTGTCCAAGCTGAGATATTAGTGACAATGGTAGTCCTGTTTCCAATATCTCTAATATTATGCAAGGACATTATGTAGAGATGGAAAAGGTACCTGCTGTGTAGGACAAATGCACAGGTATATATTGCATCTGAGAGTCCTAACAGGAAGAATGCATACATGGTTTTTTTACTTATTTAATTTTTTATATATATAGTCAAATAATTTTTTAACTTCAGACATCCCTAGAATAATAAAACATATGATTGTGTTGGGTGATTTAGAAATATGAGTTGCCTGAGGCAAACATAGAGGTTAAAGAACATGTGAGAGTCCTGACTGGACAAATAAGTATATATATATATATATATATATATATACAGATTCTCTGTACATAAGAAGATACTGTATTCAATTATTTTATCTTTCATGTTTTGTATTGTTTTGAAGTTAAAATTGTTCACAATCACAGGTACACTTTCCATCAATGCTAGAAGATAATCACAGGTGACAAATGGAATCCTGAAACTAAAGATACAGTGATATGATGAAGGTAATATTGCAAAAAAAAATTCAGAATCGTCCCCATACTGGTCTACAAAAAACCTGTTGAGGAGTACAAAGACTAGAAGGCCAAAGATTTAGCCATATAGCGAATGTGATGCAATGTAACATGAAATCCTCAATTAAGGTAGTAGGAAACATTGTGATATACAAGATGGATCAAGTGCACAAGCTAATTTTAATTTGAATGGAGCAAGATCAGTAGAATAAGAATCATCATAAGATATAAACAACCAATGTTGATTCTCTCAAAAAAACTGTTCTTGCAAGACAGGAACAAACAACCCTGAATAGACATAGAAAATGTTATTCAGAAGAAGAATCAGAGTCATATATACCACAATAGGAGAAAAAATGGCAGCGACCATCTCTTGCAACCAGAGTCTCTGGAAGGCTCTATCAGGATATAAGTAGTGCCTCCTCAAAAAAAAAGAGTATGATAATCATCAATAGTAAAAATGTATGATCATCTTCTCTTGTTAGTAAGTAACAAAGTGGAGAACCCAGGCAACTTAAGACCAAACTTAAATTCCAAAGAGGACAATGTCTAGGGGCTCTTGGGAGACACAATCAAAAAAGCATGGAAAAGTGCCTGAAAATCTGGGCTGACAACTCAAAGTGGCTAAAAGTGTAGCTCTGTAGCCTGCAGTAGAAATATATAAGCTCTGATCATGAAAGAGGTACAAAATTAGGAAAGCTGTTGAGGAGTTGGAGAAAGACAAGAAACAAAATTCTGCAGGCACCAACTCCTAGAAATAGACAAACAAGACTGATATTACTGCCAGAGAGGAATATCTGCAAGAATGTGACAACATTTGGGCTACCCAAGGAGAGAAGCCAGCTTCACTTATAAAGGGCTTCTTAACACTGAAATGTGAAGCTGAAAATGACAAACATTGTCATGGAAGATGTACCAAAAGAAGTAATGGAAAAGAATCCTTCTGAGATAGATGAGAATAGTAGAAACTATGGTGGAACAGATCAGCATGGGGCAATATGAAGAACTGGACAGTAGGACTAACTGACTTTGGCTGGTACTGAAGAAGGAAGATGAAGAAAAGGATAGGCATAGAGAAAAAATTCTCCTAAGACAGGCTCAAAGCATATTGTGCTAGAGAAGTAGGGCCTAGAACTGAAAACCAGTAAAGCATAAGAAGAAGATGCACTATTAGATATTCACTGGATGGCAGAACCATTGGCATAAGCAATGAAATAGTATCTCAGAGAAAGATATGATGTGAATGTAATCAAAGACATATAGAGACCACAGCAAACAAAAGTTGCAAGATCAAGTCCCACCATACCTGTTGATAAATGCCACCACAGCTAAATTCTCTCTTTGAGCTCTAAAGAACATTGGTGGTGTAACAAGGGCAGGAACTCCTGAAATTCATGTTGAACAGCCAAAAACTACAACAAAATGATGTGATGTGATCATAGGATACTTATGAAGACTACAGACCAAAAATATGATGCCCTCACAATGCATCACACCAACCTTTGAGAGAGGCATCATCTTAAAACTCCAGATCAGAAGAAGGTAGAAGAAAAGGGGACCCTACAATGGGAAACTTGTGAATGAGAGATACATGAAGGTAATTGAGAGTGGTAGCAGAAATTCCAACAGTTAAAGAGGTCTGAGAATATACTCCACAGATACAGAGGTACAAGGTCTCATTAATAATATCTCAAGTAAAAACAGTCCATGGGAATTGTCACATAAAGAAAAGCCATCATTCTAAAATTGCTGGAAAATTCCAGTTGAACAAGATATTAATGAGGCACAGACTGAAGCTTGGACCCTTAGACCATACATTCCAGAGAAGAAGCTAACTAGGAGGTCAATACATTGTGAGGCAACAACTGAGTTAGAATCCTATAATCATTCATGTAATAATTACAGTCAATATTGAGTGTGTTTGACTACATATGTGAAAAAATTGAGTGCTGAAGCTAGGCTTGAAAGGGATGCAAATAAGTTGATAAACTACTTCACAGTATGAGAAATGGTGATATTGAGAAGATGTGTGAATCAGAACATGTAAATAAGCATCATCCAAAAACCTTGATGAAGGAACTTTCATAAAATTATCACAGGTTCCAACTGGAAAGTAGGAATATATAGATAACAAAGGAAACAGGAACTATCTAATGTTAGTTTAAATCTCATGTTTTCTTTGGCACCAGAAAAGAGATAAGAAGAAAAGCCCTGGGGAAGCATGAAGCACAATATTGATATCCCCTTGTTGTGAAAAAGATTTGAAACTTCCAGATAAAAAATCAAATAGAATGTGATTGGTCCAAAGAACACGTGGCTAAGAGTCCAAAGATGATCAAAAATCTGAGATGACCTTCTAAAGTCTGGATGGAGGAATCATCCACAACAAAGGGTCAGTGAGTGAGTCAGAAAGACTTATCTTCTTAAATTGTCACTAGGCCACATGAAAAGTGTGAGTAAATGTAGTGAGCATTAAAGAACATTGCACCCAAGTTTCTGGAAGGGAATAATGGCTAGAAGCAAAACAAGATTCTGAAACCCTTATCAACTCCTGCTGGCAAGCTTCCCGTGAATGGGAAAAAAGCTAAAGTGAAATGCCTGCAATAAGAAAAACAAAGCTGGGATTTTTTTATATTTTGTTTTGTTTATTTATTATTGTTTTTTAAATATATGTTGAGGTCAACTGGTTAAAAGAAGAGTATTTTGATACACAGCCTGATGGGCAAAAGAGTTAAAGGAACATGAGAGCCACATGGTAGTAGAAACAATATTTGCAAAAGTCTTAGATAATGAAGACATTAAAGTAGATATGTAATAGTGTAGAAATGAATGTCTCAATGCATGACAAATCGTAGCATATAGGGCAGAAAACTGACAATAGGTCAAAGTAAAAAACCAGTAACCAAACTGAGGAGCAAAAACTTTAGAAGGAACAGTAGAATAGGTATATGCTCTGTGTGAATACAGAACTAGTTTTGAAGAATATCTGCAACCCCAATATCAGGAGTAGGTGGAAGAAATAAAAGATTTCAGTACTGAACCATCTTACAAGTACCCTCAAGTGTAATGGAAATAGGTTTAATATTGAAAATACAACACACCTAAATGAAAAAGAAATGAGATGAGCAAAAGTGTTGTCAGGACTAGGGCTAGCACTATATCCAGCACTGCAGATTCTGAAGGTAATTAGGCCTGAGCAGAAGATTCATCTTAATTAAAAACAAAAGAAAATGTTGACTGTTACACAAACCAAGTGTCCACATGATCATGATACCTATCAGGAATATCAGTATACAAGGGCACAAGTATGTTGATCAGCAGGGCAGATAATGCAACCACAAATTTACCCTGCAGGCTAAAGACACGTTTTGTAAGTAAGACCTCCTAGTATGTTGTAGAAATTCCAATAGTGGTGGACATAGGTGCATCAGAAAGAATGTTGTAACAAAGTTAATAGCATGACTGTCAACAAAAAATTTTAAGTATGACAGGAAAACAGAGATTATGTAAGATCCCTTAATGCTTGTGCAATAAGTCATGTGGACGGTGGGAGAATGAAGAATTATGGGTAAGTAATGCATGCTTTGCAATGTGTAAAGGATACTCAGAAATTTCGAGTTGTATGTTTTGTTGACAGCATGATCTCAAACTCAACAAGGGAAGGCTTTCAGTATTTTAGAGGATAAGTTCATCTGATTTGAAATTAATTCATTACTTTACACTCAGGTGAGTTCATAGAATATGCTCACATAATATGTCTTCTTCTGTATTTTCTCCTTGTACCATGAGGTATTTTGTGATGTTGAGTATCTATATTAACTATGGTGTGTAAAAACTGTAAATATCCTATGTCTGGCATTGATTACATGTCAGCTATGGATTTTAGTTTTTAGTCATAAAAAATTGTTTTAGGAATGATATCTACCTATCTGCACCACTAAGAGCTATTACCTCATACCTAACTGCTGTGGAATTTTCTGTGCATTTCACAAACCTTGAACAAATTCCCACCCCTACACGGTTCTATGTGTATTGTGCCAGACTATAATGTAATTGTCATAATGCTGTAGTCCTCCAACAATAGTAGGGTGACATGACCTTCATGCACTGTAATATCCATGAGCACTAGCATATGATCATAGGCTCATTCTTAATGTGGCAAAAAACATGCATTGGAATTGGGCAGGAAGGGTGGGAATGTGGTGCAGAGAGGTAGGTATCTATCTGAAGTATATTTTCAAGTAAAGAAAATGTTAACTTCAGAAATGCTGCCTACCTCTGCACCACTAAGAGCTAGAATATCGCATTCAAAATGTAAGTATTTCACCAAGATCGAATGTCCCAGAGCTCTAGTCATACCAAACAAACTGACATTCCACCCACCTTGGTAACACATTGTCATTGGCACTGGATTTACCTAATATCCTTTACTGTAAATCTCTCTGTAATGTACATGAAATATATCAATGAATAAATGTCAACTAATTGGACAAATAGTTTTCCCTGCTTGAGAAGGATGTGATCTCCCACCGGGTACTGCTACACTAGGTGACCCCCAGCCTCGTGGAGGTCGTGCCTCAGGGGGCTTTCTCTTCCTGTCACTTTTTCAGAAAGGATCTCATTCTTACTATTGGTCTGCACTAGCACTTCCAACATTTCCAATGTGGGATTCTAGGTCTTAGTGGTGCAGAGAGGTAGGCAGCATTTCTGAACTTAACCTTTTCCTTATCTGAAAATGTATTTCAGATAGATACCTACCTCTCTGCACCACCTTCCCATCCTTCCTCCCCATTTCTGGTGCATTTTCTTTGCCTCACTAAGAATGAGCCTATGATCATGTGCTAGTAATCACTTGGATTACTGCAGATGGAGGTCATAGGCTGGCACAATACATTTAGACATGTGCAGGAAATTCCATAGCAGTTGTGTGCAAGGTAATAGCTGTTAGTGGTGCAGAGAGGTCAGTATCTATCTGAAATACACTTTCAAGTGAGGAAAATGTTAACTTTACATGTTAGAAAAAAGAAATTTCATAGTTTGTTGATGATCTCCTTTTCAGTAAATGATTTATTCAATGGAAAAAATTTAATTAGTGTAAATGCATTATCATATTTTTATACTGTTAATATACTATTTTTGTGTCCTTACGTAAAACTGTTGCTGGAATTTTACAGCTTCGACTAGTGCTCCTACCCCATAAGAAACAAAAGCACAAGTCTAGAGTAATTCACATTACTGAAACCTACTTTGGAGAAACCTACACATTCAATCGTATTAACTTAGGTAAGTATTTATATAGCAATACAAAACTCTATAACATTGAAGTACCTAGTAATTCACTTTTAATTTTCTAGTTACATAGACTCTGAAACTATAAAGGCCAATTTTATGTTATTTTGTTAGGTTATTAGTTGTAGTCATGCCAGTTTTATATAGTTTCAAGTAACTTCATTAATGCTTTTGTGATAGCATATGTATCCAACCAAGAAGTAAAATAATACTTATTAATGACGAAACAAATTGACATTTCCTTAAAATAATTCCAGGAATGCTAAGTTTAAAAGATAAAAGGCTGTTTGTAGCATATGTTACTATGTGTTGCATGAGATGAGAAAAATTCTCTAAATTCATAGATATAACTATGAAATCTCTAGAAGATCTTGTTGAAGGAAAAAGGTGTTTTGAAATACTGAAAAAGGCAGCACCTAGTTATCTTATTGATGAAACAGGCATGATGAGTTCAAAACTGTTTACTGAATCAGTCATGCATTTGTATGGTTATTCTTTGTAGTTGTATAAGTAGGCCTGTTTTTTGTATCTATGTGTGCAGTAGTAATTGTGTGATTAATTTTTATGTATGATATCTTGGTCAGTTACTTTTATTTCTCTCTGATATGTAAAGAATGTATAGTTATAATTTTCTTTTGTATTTTGTTCACAGAGGATTTAAACACTATGGGAATTCGATTTCGTCTGCTTGGCTGTGAGCGTATGAGACGAGAACACTTAATTGGTGAAACTGTACTTGCTTTTGCTTCTTTACAGCTGGATGAAGAAAGTACAGTGTGGTTGAATTTGGAGCCTAGAGCCAACCTAGCAGTAAGTTAGTGGCACAGTTACCTGCACTACAGTCATAATATAATCACTATGATTTAAAGTTACTGCAGGAAAAATAAACCTTCTTCCTGCTATTTTATGGTCCATTTTATTCTAATATGGCACATTCAAAAATGTTTTTTGATCAATCATGAATCAATGTTCATAATATATACAATATTAGGCTCAAACTGTGTTTCACTTAGAAATTATAAAGAGTTTATTAAACAGCAGTGTATTTTGAATATTGACATTGTTTGATGCTTACAAGCTTGTCTTTTGTTATAAGAATAATGCTCTATCTTATCTATAGCATGCTGATTCCAAAGCTGACGTTTCTAGCCTAGCTCGCAGTGACAGTGCCAGCTCTACACAGTCTATGCAGCATGGTGGTCTCCCAGAGCTCCTGCTAGGATTAGCTTACAATGGAACTACTGGCCGTCTAGCAGTAGAAGTTTTGAAGGGCAGTCACTTTCGTAACATAGCCATGAATAGAGCTCCAGGTAAGGCTCTCTCTCTCTGTAGATGGAGTTTTTCTTATAAAGATTTGGTGTATAAAAGATGTATATAGAAAATTTTCCTGAAAATGTTATTAATAATTGTATTAAACAAATGAATTTTACAGTGAAATTGGCAGAAGTCTTCAATTTCTGCTGTGCTGTAACATTGATTAAATTCTAGTTTTTCAGCAGCCATGCAAAGATTATACCTTCTTTGTAACTTCTGTATTGTTAGCCAGGCACGGCTGAAAGG